TCCGGCCCGGCGGCAGGGGCAGGGAGGCCTCGCTCAGTCTGCTCGAAGAGAAGGGGCTGCGTGGGGCTGCCGGTGCCGCGGCCGGGGAGCGTCTTGGTGAAGTCGGATGAGCCTGAGTGAGGAGAAGGGGGTTGAGCCTCAACAGTGCCAGCCCTGGGGTCAGAGTAAGAACCCGGGCAGGGTGCTCGGCCCTGGAGAGAGGGCAGCGTGGGCCAAGGAGACCAGCACCCCCCGCCACCCCCTCCTACCCTGGACCGACCGCAGGAGACAGGGCTGGAGCCCACGAGCTCCGTCCCCTCTGCCCCTGCTAAGATGCAGGTTCGGCAAGCGCCGGGCGTGGGACACAGGAGACGAAGGGGACACGCTATCTGCCGCCAGCCTGGGAGAAGCCAGCAGACGTTCGTGGTGCCCACCAGGCAGCAGAGCCCTCACCCAGGAGCCCAGCAGAAGCTGGTGGGGAGGGCCAGGGTTTCCGCCGCCCTGCCTGGGGTCCTGGCACTCGGGGACAGCAGGGACCCCTGCGGCATGCAGGGATGCTGGTGCCAGGAATGGGAACGGAGCCAGGACAGAGCCAGCAGTGCAAGGCTGGTTGGTTTGTTGCCCCCTCCTTCCCTGCCCCGACGGTCAGGATCAGTCCCATCCCCGCTCTCTCCCGGCTGCTGGCCTTCCCAGGAGAGGTCCTGCTGCCCCACACAACAGCGATGCGTAAGAAGAACGAGAAGACGTACCAGCTTACTCCTCTATACCAATAGAGCAGGAATCGGGACCCAGTGCTGCCCAAGATAGGAGGGAGGAAGGCAGACAGAGAGGGAAGGAGACATTAGAGAGGTACTCAGAACAGACTGCGACTCTACGGAAGAAAACAGGCTGCAACGACAACAGTCGGGGATGAGGACAGCGCAGCGTCCCACGGCCGCGCTTGCCAGCAAAGCACGGCACCCCACGGCCCTCCCCGCCACGACACCGCCCCGCGGCAGAGGGGTGCCCGCTGCCCCCCACACTGGCTCAGTCTCCCAGAAGCCGGCCCAGATGGTTCCCCTCCCTCGGCCGAAAGCAGGAACGCCGTTTGGGGGCAGGCATGGGAGGCCACTGTCACATAAACTGTGCCATCGAGCGGCCGCAGCCCGGAGAGGAGAAAGGAGGGGAAGGACAGAGACAAAAGGGTGAGGGAGGAGGAGAGAGAAGGGGAGGGCAAGTTACCTCTGTGTTAGCCCCCCTCGCCCACAGCTCGCTCTGCCCACTGGGAGGAAGCAGGTGCGTTCCTGTCCCATCCCAAGGCTGCAGCACGCCGCCCCGGGTGGGGAGGCTGCCCGCGGTCAGGCACGCAGTCCACAAACCCCCCGGGCCCCTCGGTGCCTCGAACCGGAGCCGCGAGCGCAGCAGGTCGGCAGCGTGCCTTCGACCCCAACGGCGTGGCCATTACCTGGCAGATAGACGTCTACCGGAGGGTTGCTCTCCGACTGCGTCAGGCTTCTGTGCTCGCCGCAGCTGCTGTCCTGCAGGACGTCTTCGACGGAGGGCGGGCGGCTACCTAGAACCAGACGAGAGCACAGCCCCTCAGTCCCCAGACCAGCCCTGCAGGGGCACGCAGCCAGGAGGATGGGTTGAGATCTTCCACATGAGGAAGCTCCCCAGGCCCCCCCCAGTCCCACAGAGGTCTCAGGAGAGCCGGTCAGACTGGCCCAGGTCACAGTGCCGAAGGGCCACCTCTTCATATGCAGGCTCATGCCCAAAACGTACCCAGCACTCCTCTCTCACCCCGTCCTCATGCCCTCTGGATGCTGACTGAGCACCAGCGACCCATCCCAAAGACATGGGGCACATCCTGCATGCCCAGTACCGTGGCCATGCTCTCACCAGGACCACAGTGGTGCACGCAACCATCTCCCCCTCAGCCGTGCGAGGAGACAGCCCGTGGCATGGAAAGCTCTACTTGTGTAAAGCTTACAGCAAGGCGAGACGCTTGGCAAATAAACCAGGGAGATTTGTTGATTTTGTTCCCCCACTTCCCAGAAGAAACCCTGGCACCTTTCTCTGGTGAAGCACAGCAGCTCAGAGATGGACTTTGGGGGCTGGATGTTTCTGAACTCGTATGTTCATTCCCCAGCTGTCCCCATCCCACCACAGCAGACTTGGGCACCAAGACGAGGTCTGGCCGCCCCCACGGCCGAGAGTACACCTACCCTGCTGCAGGGACGAGGTCTCCTCGATCTCTTCCCCTGCCACGCTCTGTAAGGAGGAACAGCACAGGTTACTTCTGCAGGCTGGAGGCCTTTGCTGAGCTTGTCTCCTGCTCTGGCTTTCTCCAGAGAGCTGCGCTCGGGGCCAGGACTTGTTTCAGAGAGGGAGCAAGGGGCCACCCACCAGCGCTGTGGCACCACGGGCCGGGATGGAGGGGTTTCACAGGCAACGGCAGCGGGTGCTGGCAGCCCAGCAAGGCCCAGCTTCCACCCGTGCCCCAAACACTGCTGGGCTCGCCCAGCAAGCTGGGGGAAGGCCAGCTCTGACATGGCTCCAGCCGAGTGGCTTTCAAACGCCCCAGCTCCCAAAGGGGTGTTAGGGGCACAGGGAGAGGCTACGTCCTTCCCCGTGGAGCCCTACGGGTAAATAAAGGCAGCCGAGACCGTTGGCTCCGGGCTACTCGTGCTAACAAGCTCATCTTTACCCTGTCACCGAGGAAGCGATGGCCCTTCACGAGGCAGCTCCCGTGTCCCAGAAGAAGCCCCCCCAGAAGAGCTCTGGCTCAGAGCAGCTCCCCAGCAGAGCACACTTACTTCTGGAGAGCTGGTCTCTCTCAGGACCAGCTCACCCCCGCTCAGTGCTGGCTGTGAGTCAGAGTCCTCGGAGAGCTTCTCTTCATCCTCCTCATGGATTGGGGACGAGGGAGACCGTAGTGTGCTGCGGCAAGAGAAACTCCATTTGCAAGGAGCTGCAGTGCTGCCAGCACCGCGGGCCCTGGCGGACTTGGCGGCGGCAGCAGCTCAAGTTGTCACCACCCCTGCCCTGTCCCTCCACCAGCAGCATAAGCCAACACGCATGAGCAGGAGCTCAAACTATTGAGCTAAATTCTCCAGGGCCCTCTAGTATCAGCTACACGGGGAACAGCAGCAGCAGTTTCTGGGACAGAGCCAAGCGGGGCAGAGCTTCAGCACAGTAACACAACTTGGGCAAATCTGCCTTTGCATGGAAAGCAAGCGGCCCAGGTCCCACCCTGCTCCTCACACCTTCAGGGGCTCCCTCCCCAGGGGAAAATTTGGAATGGAGCACAGTGAAGAGCGCCAGGAACAAACCCAGCCCGACCCCATCTGTACGGCCCCGCAAGGGACACGTGAAGGGCACCTGCGGTGGGCTGCCCACTCCACAGCATCCACACCTACATCCTCCATCACAAGACCACTAGAGGAGGCTTCAGACAACAACTAAAGGATATCACTCAGCATTTTGTGCTCTGAAATTCAGGTCACTTCTCTCCCCATTCTTTTGTTCCTGGGGAACTCCATGGAAAGCTGAAATCCAACAAGGTTTGGGTGTCAAATGCAAATTGAGGGACTAACTGCATTGGAAAGGAGACATTTCCATCCAAAGTTTGGATAAGATCCCCTTGTTAAAAATCCCCTTTCTTGTGACAAAGCCAGCCCTTAGGAGACATAAGCTGGTCACCTCAGGCTGAACGCAGGGGCGGTGTCTCAGTTCCCTCACTGGCATGAGTACCTGCTGGCCTCCGAAAATTCTGAGTTAGCAGTGCTACGAGTGGGACCAGCCAGAGCCCTCTCCTGGCTCCCAGTGCATGTGGCCACAAGCCCTCAGGGCTTGCAAGAGGAGTGGACCCCTCCGTCCTCATGCTGACCTATCTGGAGACTTGCTCCGCTTGCCCTTTTGGTGGCTGCTCTCCACGGCTCTGTCCATCCCAACAAGCGGTCGGCTCGCAGGCGGCATCCCATCCACCACGCCAGAGTAGTTGATTTCGTCATACAGAGGAGCTGACGGGATGGAGGGGGAAACAGAGCGAAGGCCATTCAGCGCTTCCAGCAAGGAAATGGGCTCGTAGCCCGGAGGGATGTTGTCAGAGCTCTGTGGGCAAGAAAGAGAGGGGCATGTTAAGAAAGCCTCAGCAGGCTGGAAGCCCCTCTAGGAAGGGGAGGCCCTGCTGCAACCCAGCCCTGCACCTCCCACACCGCGCTCCCAAGCGGCCCATCCCCACAGCCACCTCTCCAGAGAGCCTCAGCCTCCTTCCCCTGCAACAGCCACACGCTCCCCTTTGGGTTGTAACCCTGATGGTCCAGGCAAGTTTCCAGAGCAATGCTTGAGAGACTGGGCATCTCAGCAAGCCGGAACATGGCTCGGCACCCCCCCGCCATACTAGGGAGCTCTTTCAAGAGCCAGACAGGAGGGTGAGAAAGCAGGTTCCTAACAAAGCTGCTATAAAACATGGGGGTTTTTTTCTCCTAAAAGTTGCTCTGATGGTTCAGAGACCCTTCCCGCTCGATAAGCACTGCACTTGTGCTTCCAGCCCTGGTACACACAGCTGTTTCATGGCACCACCAGTGTCGCTAAGAGAGAGTCGAAGGAGGGGAGTACGTGTGCACCAGCTGAGAGCTGGTCCTCAGAGCCTACACCACTTCCACTTCTCCCACGGTCTTGGTCCTCTCAGCTGCTAACGCTGGCTCTCTGCATAGTCGCCTCTGTTAAAAGGTAGGAAAGGGATCACAGAACCACTGACCCTGTAAGGTAGGAGGGCAAAACCGCACCACTTCCCATTCCCTCTGTAACTCACTAAGCTGCCAGTCAAAGGGACCCTTGCAAAGCCATTAAACCAACGCTGGTTTAACTCCAAAAATCCTCCTGATCCTAAAGATCCTGTGGACTCGGAGACAAAACGGGGTTTATGCTGCAACCCAGTAGGCCACAGGCAGCTCAGCCCAGCCCGCTGCAAACAAAAGAGGCAAGACTGCAGCAGTCCAGGCTTACATTAAATTGAGCTGTTTCAGCCCTGTATCCTCAGGGAAGTGGTTCTGTGTTGTACCTAAGATGGTGTGTTGCTGCTAAGCCTGGCCATGAACTCCCGTAGCTTCTCTGTGCCTGATCTCCCACTCACACAGCTGCAGATGAGCCTGCCCAGCAACCTGTTGCAACACAGCCATTAATTTGGTCTGAGTTGATTGCTGAACTGCCTCACTTGTGGTCACAGAAGGAGCTAGATCTGACGGAGAAGAAAGAATGAGTGGCACCTGGAGTCAAGCATCAACCCACATCTCCTAAGTACCGGTCTTGTGATGGTTATGAGCTTGCGATGAAGACCACAGCTGGTGAATGCAAGATAACCAAGTCAGCTGAATGGAATCGGTTCACGGTTGCTGCCAGCACTGCCCCAAGCGGTGGGGCCAAATGCCATCTCCGCGAAAACATTTCATTTCCAGACAGCAGCTCAGAGGTGCTGTTTTGTGGACAGAAAAATCAGGGAGATGAAACCCCCTGGCTTGCGTTTGGGACATTTTCTCCTGGCTGTGTAGACCAAGGCCTGAGGGTTCAGAGGCTGTTCATTTTGGTTCGCTGTGGTGAAAGCTCAGGTACTGCGGCACAGCTCAGAGGCTGGAGGAGGATTTCTCGGCCAATGGCTACAACACCCTCACTGCAAGCTACTGAGCTTTCAAACAACCCTAAGAGACACCGCTCTCTCCTGGGACACTTACCACTACACCACCCATACAGCCCACTGCTCCAGTAGGAGCACTGCTAGTCACTGTAGGAGGCTTCCAGAGAGCCAGGGTCATGCCAGGCTTGCAATAGCCTCATTACCTGAACCCAGCCTCAGGTTTTCTCCAGACCTGACAAGCACAGCAAGCCACATTCCTCATAAGGCCGAGCATCTAGGCCGGCTTGAGCAAAAGAAAACTGCAGCCTCCTTGATACCAATGACAGCTGTAGCTGCGTTTGATGAGAGTACACAAAGGCGGCACAAACAGACTCTTCCTGGCCTGGGGGCCTCCCTCACCTTTCCCCTTCCTGGCTCCTGGTCCCCCACAATTGCCATTCACGCTGCCCCCAGCACGGCGTCCCAGTTACACACTCTCGCACCAACTTGGAGAGGCCCCAACAAAACAAGCTCCATCCTTCCTGTTTCTGTAAAAGCAAAACAGCCCATTGCAGCCAGTGTTCCTGAATGCAAGACCTGGTCCAACTGTGCCTAGCGGTCTACCTCTACATCCCAGCACCGGGGTGGAAACCACAAGAAGATGTGCCCACGTCAAACTGCCAAGGGGATGAGACAAGTGCAAGGAAGCTTTTGGGTGAGCCAAGGGGACAGCAGCTTGCCCACAGTCCTACAAAGCTATGAAAACGTCTTGGCCAGGAACTATAAAGCAGCCAGGCTCAGGACCTGGGGACAGTCCCTGAGTCAGCATCAGATCCCTGTGGCAAGCTGCTTCCATCTTGCTTATTCCTCCGCACGCAAACCGGGGAGGTTAGTGATCGTCCGTGCAGGGTGTGAGCATCTCACCGTTAACACGGAGGCAGTACGTGGAGCGTCGCAGCCTGTGCAAGGGCACAAGTCAAACCCAGCGTGTTAGCAAGCCCTCGCATGTGTAACACTTCCACGTGCTAGTGACACCGCTGGCAAAGAATTGCCGTAGGAGCCAAATACAACCAAGTCCACTTACTGTTTCCCTTCTAGGTTTCCTGCTGGGCAGGGAGACAGTGCTCACTTTAAGGGGTTTAAAAGGACACTGTCAAGAGAAAACCATGTTTTAAAAGAAGTTGTTTCTTGAGGTTAGTGACACGAAGAGACACGCAGCATCTCCTCACCTCACTCCAGGTGACAGCACCT